ATTATAAACCTATAATATATAAATATAAAATAATAAATTTTATATATTTAATAAAATTTAAACTCTGTGATATTCAAATAAAATTTAAGCATCTTAAATACCAAACCGTTTTCTTGGTCATGGTGAGAGTTTGGTTATGTGATTTTTATTTTCCTCAAACTTTTGCTAACCAAACACGGCCTTACCGTTGATTGAATTTTCCAACATATTCGTGGAAGGAAACACATTTATCTTGAGTTTTCTTCCCTCCATCCTGAGAGCACCAATTTTCTCTCCCATTTCTTATTTGCAGTTAGACGAAGGGGAAGGGAAAAGCAAAAAAAAAGGGAAAGAGAGAGACATCACAAGTACAAAAAGAAAAGGATATGGAGAGCGATTCAGAGATGGTTCCTTTCCCTTTGTTATTGACGCCGATCGAGTCAAACTACAGAGCATGCACCATTCCTTACAGATTTCCCTCTGACAATCCTCGAAAAGCTACACCTACGGAGATCGCCTGGATTGACCTCTTCCACAACTCCATCCCTTCTTTCAAGTCAGTTTCTCTTTTATTCTCCCTTTTCCTTCTTCGCTTTGTGTTTATGCTCTTCTTTATGTATTTTCTTCCATTTTTTTTTATTATTTTTCGGTTAATGGGCCTTAGAATTTATTCATTTCTTTCAGAGTTTGTTTTTCATTCTTTTGATTTTGACTTGTCGTCCTGTATATCAGTTGAGCTTTTCAGTTTTAGGGATACATATATTTAAATCTTGTATTAGGGAACTTCATTTAGGTACAACGCTCACAGAGAAGAAGATGATTTGCTGAAAGGCATTTATTATTTGTTTGACGAGCTACTTGTACTTTGTTGAAGGAAACGTGCAGAGAGCGATGCTACTGTTCCCGATGCTCCTACCAGAGCTGAAAAATTTGCTGAGAGGTACTCCGTATTGGTTTTACTTTGTAATCTATCTCTCATCTTCTGATCGAACTGCAAGGAATTTTCACCGACCTCTCTGTTTAACTTACTTTTTTCCTACTTTGTTCAAATTCAATCAATAATATTTAATTAGCATCTCTTTCACACCACTTTCTTTAGTGAGTTTATATTTTCGGAGTCTCCTCTTTGATTGTGCTGCAAAAGCATGCTATATACCATTGTCCTTGTGAAGAATGGGAAGTCTTCTGTACTGATGTGTGAACTGCATTTGGTTATATCTACTTCTATGAATACATAATTCGCGAATATAGTCATAATTGTTTTCCATATGTTAATGATATTTTGAAATGTAAGAATTAATTACTAAACTTTGTCATTGTCTGGAAATCTGGAAGGTATTCCAAGATACTTGAAGACCTGAAGAAAGATCCTGAAAGTCATGGCGGGCCCCCTGATTGCATTGTAAGTCACATTTTAGTATTAATTTCCACTAACTTTCTAGTTTCTTAAAGATGCATATTTGACATTCTCATGATTTGTTTGGGATGATATCTAGCTGCTCTGCAGACTTCGTGAGCAAATTCTCAGAGAACTGGGATTTAGAGACATATTCAAGAAAGTAAAGGTAATACATAGCTGTTTCCTGTGTGGAAAAGCTATATATTTGCTTCATATGTAAGTTAGCAGAAGCGCAACATAAATTCATCTCATTGTGAAGACTTAAAATAAGACCTGTAAGAACAGTAGTGGGGATTTTCACTTATATTGAGACATTATTGAGAAACAGAAGCTGACTTTCATGTTGAGTCTGGAGCAAGAAGGAGCATGTTTCTGAGTTTATGTAGAGTGACAGAGAATATTCAAAATATTGGCTGGCTTGCTTTCTTTTCTCGATTGACTTAAATAGTTGTTCCTTTTAAATTGCATTAGGATGAAGAGAATGCAAAGGCTATATCACTCTTTGAAGATGTAGTTCGTCTCAGTGATGCTATTGAAGATGGCAGAAAGCGCCTTGAAAATCTGGTCAGAGGAATTTTCGCTGGAAACATCTTTGATCTTGGTTCAGCACAGGTAACTTTTTTCTTTTTTTCTTGATGTGATATTGTTCCTTACACAGCTTATAATCTTAGCAGCTAATTGTAATCGCCAATGGAGTTTTAGAGCTTTCATTAATCGACCATTTACTCAGATAAGCTGCCAATTCCTGCTAATGCTAGGATAGCTGAATCTTTGATTTCTTTTCAACTGTCGCGCCAATAATCTTGCTTAAAAACAGGAATAATAACTAATTTGCTTCCTCCATTTGTCTGCATACTCCAAGCCCTTATGCTTGTATTTATTTGACACCTTCAATTGTAATCTCTATCAGCCTTCATGTCCCATATAAAAACTTATGTATCTATCTTATGGTCCTCTGACAGTAAGATTTGTTTTCTTCCTATCACATTCTAATCTTACATTTTTCTTTACTTTCCAGCTTTTAAGGATACAAATCCTCTATGCAGGATTTCATGACACCAAAATTTTGTGCTAGGAAACGTTCTAAAGAATAATTTTGAGTAGCACTTAATTTTTTGTGTACTTATGTTTATTTTATTCATTTCTTGAAGCTTGCTGAGGTCTTTTCAAGGGATGGAATGTCCTTTTTGGCTAGTTGTCAAAATCTTGTTCCCAGACCTTGGGTCATAGATGACTTGGAAACCTTTAAAGCAAAATGGAGCAAGAAATCTTGGAACAAGGTGAGTTATATATGTCATCTTTTTTTTTTTTTAATAATAACTGAACTTTGAGGAAGATCACTCTTATATGTAGATATGTATCATATGAAAGAATCAACATTCTTGTGTTTGCACTTTTCTAACAACTTTTATATATATAAAGAAAATTATAACATGTTTTAATCACAAAGCACTGAGAGGCTGCTAGCTATTTACAATAAGAGATGCTTTTGCGACCAAAATTTGACTAGGTATAGATCTCCATCACCAGATAGCACAAGACCACAAATAGATAGTTTTTAGGGGTAGAAATCAGTTATCCTTGATTTTATGGATGGATATTCTAACAACTTTTCTTTTCCCATGACAGGCAATCATTTTCGTTGACAATTCTGGAGCTGATGTAATTTTGGGTATTTTACCATTTGCAAGAGAGTTACTCCGTCGCGGAACTCAGGTTTGTTCTTGCTATCTTTTCTGATAAAAAACCTTACTGTCTTTTAGTCAAAATATTTAATGACACATATACAAATTTCCGTTTTTAGATTCTGAATTCAAAATATAGTTATCCACTGTCTATAAATATATATATATTTTGATAGAACAAGAACACTTTCTGTAAATAATTAATGATGATTCTTCAGCTACCAACCTTCCTGAACAAACTTTTTTATAGAGAGTTTAGTTATTGGCTATGCAACTCCATCTCAAGAATGTTGTAAATAACTTTTTCTGCTTATAAATTCTGCGCATTATATGGTAAAAATTCTTGTTTTGAATAGCATATGAATACTGGGGAGCTGCCCTTTTCTAGTTTCTGTTAACAAAAATTATTTTCAAGGGTCTTTGGATGCATGATGCAAAATCAACAATTTAGGATCAATAAATGTTGTATGCATGTAAAAATTTTCAATGAATCAATCAATTTTTTGTTTTTGTTTATTTCTGATGGACTATGTTTTCCTTTGAAACCACCAAGACCTTGTGGGTTCAGGGTTCTTTTATCTCTATTATGGAGGTTCTTATGAGTCTTTGTGTGTTCATTCTGAGATATCCTTCGTGGTTAAAAAGAAAAAAGAAACTTTTTTTCCCTTTCCCTTTTAGCCTTGTACACATCTTCGTGTCTTACTAAAAAGGGGAAAAGAGTAGGCCGGTCTAATGCACTGTTCAGAAGATTTATATGTTTGATTATATTTCAACTATTATCCTTTAATCCACTTATTTTTTTGAAAGGCAGGTTGTCTTGGCTGCTAATGACTTGCCTTCTATCAATGATGTAACTTACCACGAACTAATTGAGATTGTATCAAAGGTGATGCAAAATGTAATTTTTAAATATTCAATTGCCTGTGTTTGACCTGATGCTGATGCAGAAAATGGCAATTTAACAGTTGAAAGATGAAAATGGGCAGCTGGTGGGTGTTGATACTTCGAAGCTTTTGGTTGCCAATTCTGGCAATGATTTGCCGGTAAGAATGCAACATTTATTTTTCAGAGAGGGAAACCTTTTTCGAGACAGCTTGGCTGGATTCACTTAGAGATGGTTATGACTTCGTTCTGCTAAGAGTTCATTTCATTTTCTACTCCTTGCAGGTTATTGATCTTACCACAGTACCACAGGAGCTTGCATACCTAGCAAGTGATGCTGATTTGGTTATCTTGGAAAGCATGGTAAGCGTCTTTCAGCTTAGGATATACTGAGATTAGAAAAACTTCTTAATGATTGGTGTTTTTGTTTTATTTGTCATGCATCTTTAAAATGGCATTTAGGAGTGTTGAAAGTGACATACTAACAGCTAACCTGGGTATCTGGATGCCTTATCATTTATTAGTTAGCAGACTGGCATCTGGGTTTATAGCCAGTCTTGGATGTGT